CAGCATGTCAGACTATTTCACTTTGAACTTTGCGGTAATAACATTGAACTGCAAGTACAATGGCGAACATGGCCACTCTTTCACCAATTTAAGGCCGATATCGCTTGCGTTTAAGCTAACCTAAAAATCTCACCCGCTTCATTAATGGAACGTCTGTCTCGTTTGCGCACGTTACATTTTTGTTGTCTGTCGCATATTGTTGCGACGTTGCCAGCGCGGACTAGACTGATCGTTGCTAATTTTTTGAATTTTCGTGTATTGTTAAATAATGAAAATTCTCGAAGATTCATTTTTTGCATACTCTGCTCTGATGGCCAGTTTTATTACTTTTATAATTATCGAGTAAATTGTGGGTTTTATAAGAAAAATAATTATATATTATTAACGCAAGATTGATAAAAATGCAATAAATTCATGTTAATTTATTTATTATTCTTAATACAAAATGCTTAAATAATCACTTGCACCCTGAGATGGGATTCGAACCTACGACATTTTGTATTAAGAATAACTTTCAGTATAGCATTGTGAATGCGAAATTAATCAAATATAATAATTTACTTATTATGTATAATAGTTTTATAAACTGAGAAAAACAAATCAATTGTGTTAATAATAAAGTGTATTAAAAATACATAACACAAAATTGATTAGTCGATTCCATATGAAACCATTCTTTCAGTTTCACAGTTTTATATAAAGCAATACTTAAATAAAAAAAATAAATAAATTCAAAAACGAAATCCACAACAATTCTTATTTTAATAATATCAGTACAATTTTACAATTTTCAACGTTATAAAATAATAAGGGTTTATTTATTATTTATTGTATTAATTTGAGTTTACTATTAATAAAAATAATGTTTATATAATGTTTAATTGCATAGCTGTGGGTATAATTTTTACTATGTTATATATAATACATATTTGCTAATTTAACTCTCTTGCTATGACTTTTAATTGACTTCATATTAGGAAAATGAAGGAAAGACTACTTTTCGTAAAATTGTTGAAACGGCCTTCTTCATAACAATAAATTAATAAATAATTTATTAAATTATAAGTATATGTAATTATTAATTGCATTAGAGGTATTGTAATCCTTAACGTAAAAATCTTTATTGCAAAATTACAAGATGAAAGATGAAAACAATCCCTCAAAAATTTGTATCACAGAAAATACTCAAATATGATTACAATCTATCAATAGCTTTAGCCTAGTGATTAGCTAATGTTGAATAAAATGGATGTTTATTACAATCACATATTATTAATAAATCACATTTATTATTTATATTATCTTTATTCTGAAATATTATTCTAAAATAAGTTCAAAGTGAAATAGTCTCAAAGTATAGTTTTTGAATTTGTTTTAACTTTTTTTTTTATTACATTGTGTCTTTTAAAGGACAATGCCAAGCTTCCATAGAAACTTCGGCCAGAACCGACAGACAAGAGTGTTATATTATAAGAAAGGGGAAAAAATATAGAAAATTATATGCACATTATATCTTTAATAAAAGCTCACCAAAAAAAGTTATATTCAAAAAAGTTTTTATTTTTTTTCAACAATTTTCCACATTGTTTTTCATTAAAACAGCCTATTTATATACATTTATGGATTTAAGGTAAAGGACGAAACTTTTTAAGTCATAAAAAGGATCTGTAAATTAAAAAACATGTAAAGATAAATATTTTTAATTATCAGTTGTATCATTTTTAGTTGTAAAAAATTATCTAAAAACTGTGCTGGCTTCCATATTTGACTGATATCTAGCCCATCCTAAATACCAAATGATCATCATTATGTGAGCACAGCAACATACAGTTCTACGCCCCACCAAAATTATTGTAGGTACACTTGCAAGTATTTTCCCTGGAATTCGAGACTGATATAATGTTATCATCATTACAGTGCTCCAGCTCATGAATTGCCAATTCTTGAGAAGATGTAGAACTTGCAGATAGTGAAGATGGTGCAGTATAATTTACAAATAAACTATTACACTTTTGCCAACAAGGGTGACAAATTCTGTCTGATGGTCGGAGCTGAAAAGAAATAAAATCATTAGAAATATTTTTACATAATCATTTCTTTCAATGTTTATAGCATTTATTCTAGATAAAAAATAGTTTAGATTTTAATTTCGACCCAGGTAAAAACCCAATCAAAATCGAAATACATAATATTTGTGACAGCTCACAACAATTATTTAGTGCAAAACTAAGAAATGTCATACTATGACAACTAAAATCACACAGAATAATGGATGATACAACCACGATTCAGGTACAAATATTTGTGTTCATCACACAAATAAACGCCCCAACCGTTCGAACCCAGAACCTTTTGAGGTGCCGCAACCTTAAGTTCTGTGTAGACACCACTCTGCCACAGAGGTCATCATTTGGGTTTGATTTTATATAAATATTTTTAAAGTACAGACACCATCCTATTAGTTTTTAAATACTATCTATAGTTTTAATTACATGCTCGGTTTGTTTAGATGTTTTGCATTCCATACAAAGCATAATATAATGGAACATTATAATTGTGAAATAATTGACTTATTATTATTACTATAACTTATTTATTATAATTAAATGAATGTTGTTTCTACTTACTTGTTGTGGCATAATCCTTTTCGCAACAACAGATCTTTTGTCAGTATTGTTAACATACGAGTTCTTATACAATATTAAAGATCTTCCACAATGTATACATACATTTTCATTACCAATACGTGATTGACTTATTTCAAGCACTTCATTTATAGTAACAACCAACACTCATGACACACCACACTGTTGCTTGGTATCTGTAGGTAAAATGTAAGGGTTAATATTAACGTTTTCAGTGATCTATGTTGATATGTAAATACCCACAGCATTTTAGTCGTACATGCATCGAAATACTTACGTCTAACTACGAATAAGCCGAGTCAACAAGAATAACAGGTTCAGTCCAAGTTAAAAGCCGATTCAACATGTCAAACAGATTCTGGTCATTGTTAAAAGCCGGGTCAATAATTAAGAAGATTCAGATTCAAGTTCGAAACCGGGTAAATAGATAGAATAATAACGAAAACAACAGAAAGCACTGAACAACAAAGTGAACGAATTGTACCGCAAATGTAATGTTTATTTATGACTATGACAATTAAAAAAAGTGTTGCCATTAACAGATGTTAAATTGTTTTCAATCGATTAATATCGATTGTTAATAAATAATAAATCATATGTTATACTATGATTATTATATCTTTACTTATTATAGTTATGTAAAATAATAAGGAAAAATATTTTTGTGCAGTACCAAAGAGAAAAATATTATAACATGGCGTATTTATTGTACTTTTATTCACTTTCACAACTATTGATTAATTCATAACGATTATCGATTTTCGACGGGTTAGTTATTTTAACTTTTTACTGGCAATTTTTTTTGTAAATGGCGTACTTTTCACCTAATAGTCGTTGATTAACTTTACTAAAATTACACGTAACGGTGTGCTTTTTTTAAATCTATTCATAGTTGATAATTTAAAGTATTTTAAAATATAAATTGCGATGATAATGTATTGCTTGTCGGCGACAAGCCGTATTTTGGCATTCTCCTTTATCATACGTATAATTAGTTTGCACGTTTGATCTACGATTGTTAAGATTAAGCGACTCTTGCAAGGGCCAGTAGTCGGATGGGTGATCTTTCTTTTATTTTTCTGAGCTGGGTGGAGCGAAACAGGCATTTACAAAGATTAAACGACGTTCCTAAAGGCCAGTTATGGTGATCAACTTCTTTTATTTGACTGAATGGGGTGGGACAGGCACTGCCGGAAGTGGCCGGGTTTGCTCTCTTCTGTTCTTCTATGTGTACCATTAGTACTAACTATCAAACGCTATAGCGCTTGATCTGCGATTGCGAAGATTAAGCGACGTTCGCAAAAGCCAATAATGGGATGGGCGATCAATCTTTTTTATTTAGCTGAACTGAAGGGGTGGTGGTGGGGCGGAGCGGGGCATGGCGAGAGAAATGTGATGTGATGTGTGGTATCATAAGTGATTTTATATTTCTTTAAATTTTAAATCATTTCATTGTTCAATGCAAAGCATTTGACCTTTTTTTCAAATATCAATGAATTAGAATCAAATTCTGAAACATGAAACAGACAAAATAATAGCATCTTGTTTTGTCGACCCAAAAAGAAAAAACATACTTGTCCTTTCTAAGACCCATAAAAATCTGGAGTAAAAAGAAATTATTCCTTTCTTGTAAATAAATTCGGCGCCACCCAATGTGTAAGCACTTTAGACAGCTAACTCAAAGCACTTATTATTTATTTATTATTTGTTATAAAACGTTTAAAACGATTGTTATAAAACGTCATTGTTATTAGTTCTAAATTTATCTGCTGGCGCTGAACCGATATGCATTTATTATTCTTCTGAGGAACGTGCAATGAGCTAACCCACACTAGCGTAGACACCTGTAATTATGTAAGGGGGCGTGTCGGTTTCTAAAAGTCATTCAGAGTCCTCAGCCCCTTAATACTATCTCCCAGCCCCTTAATCACTCTCTGTGTGAGTCTACGTAAATATACCTGTGCATTTACCAAGTATATAACCCTGGAAGTATCAATCAGTGCAAAATCATAACTTTATACACATGTAAGTATTTCTTGCTTGCATTTTATTTTATTTTCTTCATGAGTGTAAATTTCGCAAACTTAAATTCATTTTTTATTAATAAATAAAAAGAAATAAATGAAAATACAATAAACACACTCATGAATAAATGATTTAACTTTATCAACGTGTATATTATCTTTTTAACTTATTAATATTTTAACAATTTTCTATTCAATCATAAAATGTAACTATTGTCAACCAAATTTTTATTTCAATTTTTTAGTCTGATAATTGTTAATTAATGCATTTATTAATTTCGATCTAATTTATTAATTTATTTCAATAATAAATATTTTCAATTTCAGAATAATGCCGCGGAAAAAATCTAACCTCGATAATGCGTGTAGCAGAAAGGCACGACTCCAGCGTGCTCTGCGAGCTCGAGAATCAGAGGAAGAAACTGCAGCAAGAAATGCAGCTCAACGAATTAGCACAGCAGAAATTCGTAGACAAGAATCTCAAGAACAGCGTGATGAACGCCTGCGACAAAATGTATTAAGGACAAGAACTGCACGACAACAGAATATAGCCAGATTTAGAGAACTCGAAAGAAAGAGGCAACAAACCAGTCGCGCATTAACACGTGCATCATTCTTTCGCCTTGCGTTCGAGTATGAACCAGACATTAATTACTCTGCACATTCGAAGATTACAATTGGTGCGATGAATAAAATATGCCAATATTGCCACGCGTTGAAATTCCGAAATGAAACAACCGGTATGTGTTGTGCATCAGGAAAAAATGTACTGCCACCTCTGCCTACTCCACCGGAACCGTTGAAATCACTTCTTGCTGGCAAATCAGACGATTCGAAATTATTTTTACTAAATGGAAACAATTGGTCAAAATCAATGTTATCAACCTCATTTATAAATTGGAGTTTTTGAATATTATCAATTAATTTTTTGTATATATTTTGTAAAGAAGTCATTGTTTATAATGAATGGTTAAAGATGAGAAAAATAACATCTACATTTAATAAATTATAGTTTGAAAAAACTAAAAAAAAATACGGTTTTGAAACCGATTGAACAAAAAATTTAAAAATAAAACTAAAGTACTCAATTGAAAAATTCATATTGTTGTACTAAAAGAGTGGGGGGCTTGATTTTTATTACTTTAAATATTTTAACGATAGTTTAGTATACCGTAAAATGGGGTGAATAGGGATTGAGAGGTGAATAGGGATAAAACCAGGAAAATATTTGGACGCTTAATATAACTACTAAATTCCTTAAAAAGTCTTCCATTTTTTGTGGTGTAATAGTAGAATATTGAAAGTTCTCATAGCAAGACTAAATATACATGACATTAGGTAGAAACGGTCAAAAATCCAATTTGAAAGTTACTTGTTGTGGTGGTAATTATTTTGTGTGTTAGAAACTTTGTTCTCTCTTATTTATCTGTTAATAATAGACGACGGCTGTGATTTCAAAACGTTATTTAGTATTTGGGCCTACATATGTATTATAGGTAAGTCTCAGTTTTTATTGGATTTTAATGTTTTTTGATAATTTAGAAATGCGTGTAAAATCTATTGTTTTCGGGGTGAATGGGGACGTCTCAGGTATTAATAAAAACGAAAGAGAGGTCAATGGGGATGAGAATATGTTAAATAGGAACGACTCAAGTATGAATAGGTACAGGTTTGTAGGGTTGTCACTAGGTAATTATAAAAAAAATATTCGTATAGGCAAGAATTTGGTTTATTCATGATGTTTTTGTGTAGAACTTTTATTTAATTAATTATGCAGTTTTATTTTATTGTGTTGCAAATATATTAAAGGTACATTTACCATTTTCAGATATGCATCGCGTGTACAAGTTGAAACCCAATGCCAGCCCTAGCAAATTTCTCTATTGACTCTATTTTCGTCCCTATTAACCCCAATTTCTGGGTAAATAGGGATAGCATATATTTTTGCCTTTTTAGCTTAAACTGGAATACTTATTGCATGGTTTTAAATAAGATTACAAAGATACCATCAAGACTCAATCATTTTGATTCTGATATAGCAATATATCCTTCAACAATTATCTTCAAATTGTTCATAAAGTTGGGAATTGTCCCTATTCACCCCATTTTACGGTACCTGTAGTAATTATAATAAGCATCCCACGCATTTTGTACAACAATATGAATTTTTCAATTGAGTACTCCAGTTTTATTTTAAATTTAGCTAATTCGATTTTACCGGAACGGTTTTATTTCCTCAGTCGCGATTAGAGAAATAAAATATGGCGGTACAAAGTTAATTAAAATAAAATTAACTACTGATATTATTGTGTGGTAATTTGGGGATATTTTATTCTAGCTACTTTTAAAAACTATACTTTGTGTCTTGTGACTTCTATATAAGTTAAGATAAATAAAGCACCTAGATAGTAGCACCTAGGCCTTAATCTTAATATATATAACTCAATGGTGACTGACTGACATAGTGATCTATCAACGCACAGCCCAAACCACTGGACGGATCGAGATGAAATTTGGCAAGCAGGTAGATATGACGTAGGCATCAGCTAAGAAAGGATTTTGATGAATTCTATCCCCAAGGGGATGAAAGTTTGTATGAAACTTTGTCAATTTCAAACCGATCGGGCTGAGACTTTGCATGCATAAAGCTTTTATGACGTAGGCATCCCCTAAGAAAGGATTTTGATAAATTCCACCCCTATGGGGATGAAATAGGGGATGAAACGTTATTCCAGGTATTTTACACGATTAATGAATAAATATTCGTTAGGAATGCTGCTCAAAGTAACTACCACGCGGACGAAGTCGCGGGCAAAAGCTAGTATATATATAAATTCAAAATTTATTATTAATTAAGTTTTGAATTTTAGCTGCGGATGTGTGTATTCATTGCGATTTATTTAAATATGCTTTCCTGCAGGCACAAGACGAGCGGCGCCATGAATTCGAAAGCAGATTACAGCAAAATCAAGGAAGTCTACGAGGAATGTTATGGCGATACAATCAAAACGAAAATGTTATTTTTCTCTAGACATAGAGTTCGGATTAGTGAAACAGATATTAACGCAGCACTTACTTTATGTGACGACTATACTAATAAACTAGGTAAGTAGTATTGGGTTTTGGAAACAATCTAACGAAAATTATAGGTAACTGAATAGGTACGAGTACATAAATGTACACTTTTGAACTATCGCGCTGCATTATTAAATACTAATAATACCGGGTATTAGACGCGATTTTACACTGACGATTTTACACTGACTACACTGACACTGGTTGCACCGATCGTGGTCACGACGAGACTTGAGCAGCGAGTCTACGCCTCTGCATCCGAGGATGAATCTTATTTTACCCTCAGATTTTTTCATCCAAATACCATCGCAAACAACACTAAAAATTCGAAATACGAAAATTCATTCCACCGTTAGTCTCCTATATTATATATTATGTTATTATATGTAGTTATGAACGTATATCTGTATATTATATTTATTGTTTATGTAGTATTTTGTTATAAGTTTTATTTTCCTTAAGATCTATATCTCCACATCACCCATCCGGTTGACTTTTACAAAATTCCTACGGTATTCAGTCCGCCAATGTATTATATGCATGAAATGTCAAATAAATAAATTATTATACTCGTCCTATTAAACATATAAACAAAAAATCTTTAGTTTCGTAATAATAATGTAATAACAAGCAATATCATATAAAATCGTGTATAATACTTTGACAATTTATTTTTTAAATATATGTACTTTGAACAGATGCAGCAATAATAGAAGAAGAAATACAAATCTCAGATATATTTCAAATAAAAGAAGAAGTTGATCATGCAGGCAATGAACAAGATCCACTTTAGAAGATGACTCCGTCCCAGAAGATGAAGTTACACTACCTGTTAGTTTATCAATGAATTTATCGAAATACCCTTTTCTGTATACGACCGTTACGAAGATATACACATTATAAAATATGGTTTCAAGGGTTTCTTTGTAGGTGATATTATTAACCAAATGGAAACTGATTAGACAATGTACGGTCAAAAAAGTAAAAAAAATTGTTCGGGGTATGTTAAAATTACCACTCACCAGGTCAAGTTAGCTAATTCAAAGAAAACAACAGTAAACATGCCTTATTTAAAAACTGTAGCAAGAGACTTGGTAAATAATAATAAAACCGAATTGCTTATGCAGATGTGTAAACCATTTTCTGTTATCTTAGTAGATTGTAAACCTCTTTTAAGATATAAATTTTGTACTAGACACAGAACAATTCAATTGCTTAATAATATTCTAAATTGTGAAAAATGTGTCAAATATTACAATGTGAGTGACAAATTAGAAGTTAAAAGAAAGAAACGTGCTGTCTTGATTGAAAATCATGATCAACCAGAATCATCTGATTTCGATAATTCATGTGCCGAAAAAGTAAGTAGCATTAATCATTGCATTCAAATTTAAAAAGGCCTTGTGAAAAAACATGGTCTATTTATCAACAGTTTATATTTAATACTGACTCACGTAATAAAAACAGTTTGATAAAAAAGGTTTAATATCGAAGGAAACCAAAACCTAAAACATTTGAGCAAGTCGCTTCATCGCAGTTACCGTCATTAGCACCGCATTCTGTCGTTCAATTTCAGTCGCTTAAAGATACGGATCAACTCTATATTTTAGGAGTGGATGCTTCAATGCAATTTTACGTAGAAGTAGATAAATCCGATAAAAGTGAAAGTTAGAGCTTGTTGCTCGTTACAACGTCTAAAAATAATGTCAAATTACCACGCCAAATGATAAACTTTCTACAGAAAACACCACACAATTATTTATATTCACAAAACAAAAAATGTTGTCATGACAAGACGATTTACTATCCGAAAGTACAGTTAGAACAAATAGAATATCCTAAAACATTCAGCCACACCAAAAATAACACAACCAGGCTAAAAGAAGTCTTAATAAGTAGTAATTTAGCGGATCCACTTAATGCCAATCAGAATATTAATATAGACTTAATACGTTCACAAAAATATAGCACTACATAGTAAATGAATTTATTCCATGTCCACGTAAAAATGATATTTCATTAAATCCAAAGCCTTTGTTAACATCGAGTCGAAACAATTTCAATATTTCTGTAAATGAAGGGCTTAAGAAAAATAGTTCCTTGGGTAAAGAAACGGAAAAAATAGATAAATTTATCCATGCCAGTTCAGATATTTATGGAGCTTACAGAAGTCTAACGCATTTTAAAAATGAACAATACCAACGTTCTCTCAAAGCAAATAAAAAGCATAGCGAAGGATCATTAGCTCCGAAAATTAAAAACGTTTATTAGTTAAATGAGGGCCAAACGAAGAAAACTACATCCGATAAAGTCTCTCATTTCACATCATCTACACAGATATATCTAAAATAAAACCTCCCAGAAAACGTACATTAAGAAAAACTTTCATATTAGAAAATATCTTAAAATCGAAGAAAACAAACACAGATTCATCCTCTTCTTCAACTTTAAAAAATACACAGAAAAAAAATTACCAGTTACAATTAAAAAAATCGTAAACAATGATACTACTATGGTCAATCAATTAAATAGCAAATACATACCGTAGTCAATTCTAGTTCAAGCTGCAGCCAGCCCTATGATAAATGCACCATTCCAGTGTTTCGTAGCACCTGGGAATATCGATTCAACCTTAGTTGGATTGCCGATGATCCAAAACAATTCTATCTCTTATAATACTCCTCTTAGCCAATATATGAGTCTCAATGTCCCCGAGAGTTCACCAAATATTATCCCAACTAACATTACAGCTGCAAATAGAGCTTACTTTAGAACTTTTAAGTGTTATAAAGGTTGATTAGTGAATTATAAATTATAGGTTGTGGTGACAAAAGAGAATAAGTAATAAAATGTAACGCTTATAGTCACAGCAAGTCTATAAGAGCAATGTAAGGCGTACAGTGGCGATTATTATCCCTACTACATAATCTGATATATTATTATAATATCTTTATGTATCTAGATTAGATTTATATGATGTTACTAAATGCAAGCAAAAAATATAAAATCTTATGTAACTTGCTGCATAATGATCTCAAGTAAATTGTTAATTTATGCTTATAAAATGATTTTAAAGATAAGATTACCTTAAGAGCGCGGGTGATGCTGGATGACATTTACCCAACTCCTGTGAGCTGATTGTCTAATTTCAAAGGTTTTATACCTTTGAATTAGACAATCAGCTCGATAATTACTGCTCTCTATTAACGGTACACGAAACTGAAATGTGCATTTTTTTTACTGAGATGCGATTTCCCACACAGTTTTTCTCCCAGAATTGGCAGCGCCAGAGCGGAGCACAGGCGTACTAGTTTCCCCCCTCGAATACCAGCTTTCAGCCAGATCGGCACAAGGATTTCTAAGTGGCCTTCTAACATCCCTGGTGCTTGCGCGTGTCGCGGTTGCGCGGTAAGCGCGTCTGCTAATTAAATCCGCGTCGTTATTAGAGAAGAATAGAAAAAACGTCCTCTAACACTCAAAAGAAAACCTACGTTTACTATTTATCGTTGATCTGTCGCAAGTTATTTTAAAGTTATGTAATTGCATCAAAATATATTTACGAAATAAAATTTGTTTTATTTTAACATTCATAAAGCTTAACACTTATTTGTCCTTGTAGTTTCATTTTTTACTGTACCCCTGTGCATTTCATCTAAATGTTTTTGCCTCTTACTGAGACATATTAACCGAGGACTTACCTATACATTTTCTTTCTTTCAACTTTCGATTGAGCGAATAAAGATGTTAAGAAATAAAAAATATTTCTCTACATCATTTTAGATTAGAACAATAAAAAACAAGATATCGCGTCGAACATTAGACTTTTGACCTTGAATTACTTAACTTATGTATGACGCAGACACGAGATTTTACTCTTATAAATTCTTATAACATGCATTAGAATTGGAACCCGAAAATTAACAATATCTATACGGTATTAGAATTTTCAGCTTCGATTACGAATCTCTCATCCTCTTTTTGTGATTCGGTTAAATTCATTTTATATTATTAGTTTAGTGAAATGAAGAAATATTACTTCAGAGAGATTCATAGATCCCTTTATAATAAACTTAACTGCTGAAATTGTTTTTAAAGTTGTATTGACAAATCAATATTTGAAACAGGAATAGGACAGGACCCACTCTGGGTTGAATATCAGGTACACACGCCCGAGGCACAGTACACGTGTCTAAAGCCGACCTCGACGGCACTCGTGCCCCGACTGGTCCGAAACGGTCCAACATATCGTTTTTGAGCGCGGTGCTCGAGGCGATCATTTTATAATTTCCGGAGGGTTTAGGCTTAGTAGTAGATCATCGCTGTAGCACCCATGTTTTGGTAAAGATCGCGGTTACTTAAACTTAAAACTAACTAACTGTTTACAATTTGTAAGAATTTTAACCGACTTCAAAAAGGAGGTTCTCAGTTTGACTTACATGTACGTATGTTTATCCGCGATTATCTTGCGTTTCCTTGAACCGATTGTGATAAAGTTTTCAGAAAAATATTTGTTACTCTCAGGTTGTTTTGGTATTTTAACAGAGTTAAGAAAAGGAAATTCTGTTTGAGCACGTAAGTCTAAATATTAGTAATGATAATTATTTTCTTTTTAATAGCTGCCTATTATTTTCTTTTCACACAACGTATTCGATCCCTGTAGCCCAGGGTGTATAACTATACAGCTGTAGCTACACCACTGATAGGTATTGAGTACAGTCAATTCAATCTTTATTATTCAACAACAAAGAACAAAAGTAAAAGTTGGGTGAACTTTACTATACATTGCTCAGTATATTATGACAGTTGATAGACTCATGCCTCACCACAGTGCAATGAAAATGAAACTACGTGAGTGTGACGTCATCTGTAGATAGCGATAGGTCATTGAACGGCCCGGTTTCCAGCTGCGTCACTCGTTCGTTGTCGACGTTCACGGCAGCTGCGACTACGTTATCAGATTGCCCCTACTAAGGTACTCACTTACGTTTACTCACACTCATTCATTAAGTATGTACCTACATTTTATTTTTTTATTATAAAAATATTAATCATAAAATGTAAATGTCAAAGTTTCGCAATGTCAAATCAAAGATTTTCAAAGATCAATGTCAAAGATTTTAAATTATTCTAGTTGTTTTATTGAAACCGGACTTATTTTGTTGAATAATTTGTTTTACAAATAGCTTATAATAATCACATTAATCTGCAGATAGTTAGTTAAGTAAAAGATTGATGCAAAAATTTACTTTTTCTAGAACATTGGTGACATGCTGTATAGGCACTATTTATCGTTATATTATAAATGCTTAGTTAACAAACATAATGTAAGCTTGTAAACAAAAAAAATATAACTTAACAATTACAAATGTTTAAGAGAAAACTAAATAATTTATTAACAAAAAAATATCTAATCCAAATGTGAAAAGTACCGGTCATTTAACTCTGTGTAAATAAATAAAATTATTAGTAAATTGTTATAAATAACTTAGGTATTTATTTATATATTGTACAGAGTTATTGATTTCGATGAATCTTAGTAGGAGATATCAACTATGGACACATGGTGTAGTAAAAGCACCTATCGAATATTCAACCTAAGCAGTGTTCGTTTTGTAATAGATTAATAATGAGAAATACTTCATAAAATGTTACTCTATTTATAATATCTCTAGATATTAAAAATAGAATATTTCGTAAATTAAACAATTTGTACACATATACCAGTTATTAGTAAATTACCTAAGCCATTGTATATTATATAATTAATAACAAAACATATTGCTTTTGTTCAGTCAGTAATGTTGAACTAAGGGCATGTATATAATAAATTTTGGATAGTAAAAACGTTAGCAATTTTGGATGAAAACAGGTGACTTTAACTAGAAAAATATGATACAAATACAATTTTTTACATCAATTATAAGAATCTACATTCGATATTAACGTCCATTCCGTTACACGTCTGCGAGTAAAATGAATTTATACGCGTGCCTAGTGTTTTGTCTCTCTCTCGCACCTCCAACTACAGCGGTGTTGTCAAGCGTTGTGAGCACGAAAAGGACAACATCTTTTTTCCCCTCGGCCCTCGCACTCACGCAGCCCGACATGAACACGTCGATCTTTCGCTGCGAACAAGGCCGCTTTTCGCCATTTTGTTGTGATACGTCTACTAGTGCATGGCTTGCGAAGAAAAGGTGTTTTTAGAATACAATGATGTTGTGTTTATAGAATTTGGACGCACAGTGATACGTGAGACTGATATGTGAATAGTTTTATTCATTTTGGAACGCATAAACAGGTAAGGGTAAATTGTATGAAGTGTTTTTCTTATTTTCATCGTACGCTCCGCGGCATGCTAACGTGCGCAACAGCGTTTCGTAATATTCCTATCACTGTGCGCGTCGTCGGAATTATTTAGTCTGTTTTAAAATAATCATAACACGACCGTGTCGTTTCTAAGATTATATTAAAATTTATAGAACCATATCGTGTTGTTTGTTGACGCTGTCAATAAATTCTCTATTGTTTTTTGTGTGGCATCGAAGTATGACGTACACTCGCTTCAACGGCTGGTATTTTTATGCAAGCAGGTTAGGTAATTTCATAGTACCAACAAAACGATACCGAATACCCTTACTTTTTAGTGTTGCCAGACTTCAAAACTGAAATATAATTTATGGTTTTTGGCTTAATTATTTAAATTTGTTATAAGGTATCTACAAAACCAAACTATTTTTTATGTTTCTTTTAATTGGTCTACAAACAATAGAAGGAGTAGTTAAGAAAAAATAATTATTGAAATCAAAATGGATGTCGCTGGGTACTTTGTAAAATTTGGGTACTAGTATCAATCAGATAACATCAGATCTACGAAATGCATTTCCATTTTCTGATGTAATAAAAACATTAAATTTTGGAAATTTTAATAGATCATCTTCAGTTTAACTCCTAATTTCATTTCGTGTTTCTTTTAATAAATAAACTAAAATGCAGTCATCGAATGAAATTAATTAACTGCCTTCTAACTTTAAAAGGATGTGGTTATGTTCGACGGCGATGTATGTTTTTTATGTATGTTTCCCGATTTTTTCGACTGATTTCAAAATTCTTTTTTTATTCGACAGCTTCATAGATCGAGGTGATCTCATTAAATTTTATCAAAATCGAATAAGTAGTTTTCCTTTTATAACAAATACAAATACTCTTTCTAACAGAGTACCTATATATAAGGATATATGATATGTTATTTCGTATTTAGAATTCATTCAGAATCTGAAAGGAATTTTCTATGTTTAACGAGTATGTATACTTTACTCTTTGGTGTATATTTTTTATGAATAGATATTAGGTATATATGCGTAAAGTATATAGATAAGGGTATATAAATATATAGGTATGTTCATTGATTTCCTCTTGAATTATGAAAGACTTATAAATCGGCCCAATAGTTTCGGGGCTTATCCAATACAAACAAACAAGTAAATCTTTCCTCTTCAAAATGTGAACATAAATTATTGGAAAAAATATGTCGATCTAATAAACAAAATCTCCTATTTTAAGACTTTTATTATGTTAAATAATTCTATTAGACATTTAATATTTTAGTGTTACCTTTTAATATATTAGTATTATATAAAATAAATCGACATCACTAAAAAGTAGTTTAGAAAAGTGAGTGTTATTCCAAAAGCGACTGATTGTTGTTTTTGATTTTAACTAATTAACGTATTTAGAAAAAAAAAATTATGATGGCGTATCTTAATAATTGAGTAAAGAGATATTTTTAACAAAATTTTACATCCTAATTGATCAAAATTTTATGTAGACGAATAATGAATTGATTCGATTAAATCAAAACTCGCTAACTCACATATTTATCTGTTCGTCTGTCCCTCCACCTCACACGATCAGTCAGTTAGAGTTGATATCCGGTTGAGGCTTTTAAAGTTGTGGCTAAATATTTGTATGTCCGCCCTGTACGGTTTTTTTTGATAACGTAACGCGGTACTCGCAGTGAACAAAACGCAAACTACTTAATTATTAAAATAATTAAAAGCTTACGTCCGGCTTTATAAAGTAATATTTAGCTACTAAAGAATGTACAGTTCAGGTTTTAGGGCAAAATGACAGCATCGATTCAGGCTTTTTTATTTTGGAAGATGGCAACCTTGGTTACAGGTAATTGTAACGTAATGTAACTTAATATCAAGTAAATAATGAGAGCTTGTTCAGAAATGTATTTTTTCATTGTTTTCTAATATACGTTAAATAGTTGGAATTATTTTAGAAAAAAAGAGAATACCATTCTCTTCCCTTTTTTTACCTACGAATATACCTACCTTTGTGGCCTAAAATAAAAAGAAACAAAAAAACGTTGCGATAATTTATAAGTAGTGTAGTGTATGGTTTTTAGGGTTCCGTACACGAAGGATAAAACGAAAACAGGACTAAGACTCCGCCATCCGTGTGTCTGTTTGTGAGTCCTACACCAATCTGCACGAACTGTGATAGTTAGACAGTTGAAACAGATGATGTATTTAAGTTGCAGCAAAACAACGAATACTATAAAAATTAAGGGGGCTCCCATATCGCAAACTTGATTTTTTTGACCATTTTTATCTCAATATAATCAAGGTAGACGCTTGAAATATCAACTTGAAATAATATTTAGTTATAAATATATTGAGTTTAAATATAAATAAATATTTTAGGCGGCTCCCATACAACGAACGTATTTTTTTACGATTTTAATAGATAATGATACAGAAGGTCGGATATTTTACTAAAAAAGCTACATTGTCGAGGATTTTGTGTCTTCATATTATGTATAATATAAATGTAAAAACATTTTTTTCTATTTATTTACTATAAATGGTTTTAAATCGTAATAAAATATAAATAAAATCGAATGCGATATCCGTCTAACTACTTTATTTCATGTGACTTTCTAAACGAATATGACTCAACAAGCCGGGCAGATTAAAGAAACTGACTATTTGATTGGATCCCAGCTCGCGTGGCACCTATGTGGTTTTTTTTTTGTATTCTTCTTTTACTTAAGAATAGAATACAGCATTCTGAATGCTGCGGTTATTAAGAAAATTTTGCAAGGGCAGGCCATAGGATGTGTGACAAAAATTTACCTGTGTTTTAAAAGGCACGTTAAGCCGTCGTTCCGGCTGCTTCTGCAGTCGTTGACGCCCACGAATCCGCACTTGGCCCGCGTGGGCTGCGTGGTCATGCAGCAGTGAGGGTATTAATGGGCTTGTGATAATGATGATGATTACGAATACAAAACTCGACAAACAATATAAATCATTTGATGAACCTTATTGATCAAATATAAAAATATCGTATATGAACGTACATAATCAGTTTATCTTAGTTTATTTGAAATTTATTTAAAAAAAAATCACGCTGAAAGTATATTTGACACCATTTTAACGCAAGTAATTTTATTTATCTTTTTGTAAACATTTTTGAATTATATTTATAATATTGACGTAATTATGAAAATTAATTGTGTGGAATATAAACATGCAATTGTAATTTAATTCTGTACCTATTTGTTAAGTAATAATCGAATAGCCATCAAATGGTCTTGACCAAAACGATAATCATCAATTCCGGATTCTTAGTCTTAAACCTGGCAACATTTTCAAATGAACAAGATGCATCTCAAAATGTGTGAAACCTGGTGAAACCGATCTTTATAGGTGTGTAATTGAGGGCGAAAAAGAAAAATGTTTAATTAACTTTAATTTGCTGATGGCTCATTTAGGTAGGTACAGATAAAAAATCTTTCAATTCTAATGTCCGTCCAGGGAGCCAATTCTACTAAATAAATTTTGTTTAAATCGAATCGAAACCGAACGAGACTACAGTTTTTAATGGTTTTTCTATGCTACTAAGTGACATACGATACAGTTCCAAAATATAACGGGAACTGTATTCTACTGGATATTACTGTATTCTACTGTACCGTTTTCTTATACAAATAGTCTCTCTTAGTGAAAAATACTTAAAAATTTCGCTTTGTCCCTGGCACTTTGAGATGGAATGCAAAATTCATCAAATATAATAATAACAAATAGTATGTGTTTAAGAATATGAAAGAGCAACGTTAGTGTTTAAGTTTACAAGCTGTAGTCAGTTAAGGGATTCAAGCTTTGAGTTTTATTATTTTGTACAAGTGCCGAAGATCCTGCTTTTTTCTGTAGATATCTAAAGCTGCAACATTAAAATTATCAACGTGTTAATATTAGTACGCATCTAGCTCATATACGAGGGTTGCCAACCGTACTATAATGTTGAAGAAATAGTACGCTAAAGTACTATATTTTTGACACTGAAATCTAACAAATAATTTTTTCGTTCATGAAGGCACCTAATACATTACCTTTTATGTAATGTAAATATCGTGGTAAGATTGTTTCGCTCATTATTCTTGTCAGTCTACAAATACCCTGAACGGATGGTACGAAAAAAGTAGTTTTCAAATATCTTTATATATGTATTATGTAATTGTCTTAGTTAATCTTTGGTTCCTGTGGAATTCAATAGGCAGGTTCCATACATTTTTTGGAGTGTACTATACCTATTTTAAATGCTTACTTTTAAAAATACTATATTTCGCTGAAGATATTTTACCCTGCAACATTTGGTACTCCTACCTAGCATTTTTGTGGGTTTCTGAGATTTCATAATGAGTGAGAGTGAGTGGAAAAAATACTTCAATTATTAAAAGATGTGGAGGATTTATATTTTATTATATAGTATATGAGAAAATAATTAAAATAACATTTTTTTTCCTCGTATCTTGTCGCCTTTTTATAAATATAAACAATGCCTATAGTTTTTTTCTATTGATTAACATGATGTTGACTGTTCGATGTGTAGTTTTACATTTATTGTGCGTATAAGATCTCTTGATACTATATTTATACCATCACATAATATTTGATTAACGTAATTTATCAGCCATATTTGTACTATATAAAATGGGTGTAGAACGTAAACGAAAATAGATTCATTTTTTTTCTGATAGTGTTTATTATACTATTATCGATAATCACACTTTTAGGTTTACTATATCAAATATTATTGATTAATTTAATCATGAAAAATAAACATTATATACTCGTAGTCAAGTGACCGCAAACAGCGCATCACGTCACACCCCTCTTACTCATATCAGAACATGGAGAATTCAACCTTATGCTTACATAGAATAGAACGATATCCGTCAGAGGGCTGTGACGCCAGCGTGAAAATTCGATAATGAAATTTATTATTACA